TGCTACTCTCTCTCTCTACAATTCCCAAACTATCTACAATAGGCCTTTTAGATTTGAAACAGTATGGTTGGACACCCTGACCTACCCCTGATTATCCACCAAAGCTTCTCTAGCTTTGACACTCTGACCCAGGATACCTAAAAATTCTAACACAATGCCCTGAAATGGAATAATGAAGTTTTTGGGAATATATTTCATAGGAAAAAACACATAAATGTCAGGCTGACTGGCATCCAGAAATTCCCTCAATTTTCCTTCAGTAGATTCCAAAACCTAGATACACATCTCCAAAAAGATTACTCAAACATCCTCAGATGTGAGGAGGACTTTTGAAAACAAAAAGCAAGAATTAATTGGCTTTGTAATGGAGATGTTAATATTAGGTTCTTCCACACCTACACCATGAACAGAAGGAGGAGGAATAAAATTATATCCCTTAAAAATGAGGTGGGTAATTGGACCCATGACCAGGAGGGCATTAAGGACATGGTCCAAACTTATTTCAAAGGCATTTACACCATTGACCATACCCACACTACTCTTTATGGAATCCAAACAATGCCTGGCTTAACCACCCTCTCTATTGAAGTATCTCTTAGACTCAAGGAATTGAGACCAAGTGAGATTACTAATGCCCTCAACTCCTTCAAGGCATCTAAAGCCCATGGTCCTTGGGCTATACCCTATCTTCTACCAGAAGTACTGGAACCTTGTTTCTCACCATGTCATTGCTTTCTGCACCATTGTCTTCTCTACAAATGAAATGCCCCCTGAAGTGAACTCGACCTATCTTTGTCTTATCCCTAAATGTTTGAATGCTACCATGCTTAGAAATTTCATACCTATAGGATCTATAAAACTATGTACAGGCTAATCACCAAAATCCTTGTCAACAGGCTCAAATCTTACCTCAGCACCATCATTGGCCCCTGTCAGGAAAGTTTCCTCTCTAATAGGAGAGCTTATGATAATGTCATTATTGTCTAAGAATACATCTTCCACTTCAACAATATGAAAGGGAAAGGCATTAATATGATTCTTAAATTGATCCGGAAAAGGCTTTTGCCAGGTTAGAATAGTATTTCATTGAAAACACCCTCATCTTCTATAATCTACCTGAATGCATGATCAAGCTCATCATGTCATGCATCACTTCAGCCTCCATTCTCCTAAATGGAAATAGGACACAACTCGTCCTTCCTTCTAGAGGTATTAGGCAGGAGGACCCTCTATCCCCTTACATCTTCATAATGTGCATGAAGATGCTTTTTAGAAAAATTGATTATTAAGTGGACCTAACAAATTGGACCCCAATATCCACCTGTAGAAATGGCCCTAGGATTTCCCACCTCTTCTTTGTTGATGATCTCACACTATTTTCCAGAGCCAACAGAAAGAATTATGAATCCATCATCAGAAATTTGAACTCTTTCAACTTGGTCTCGAGCCAGAAAGTCAACATGATTAAGTCTAAGGTAATTTAATCTAAGAACACATCCAAAGAGAACATGGACTTATATACCAACATCATTGGCATCAAATCTTGTACCAACTTTAGAAAATACATTGGATTCCCCATTTTCCATAACAAAATCCACCATGCTCTCCAAACTGGAAAAACTAGATTCCTAAACATGGCAGGGCGCACAACACTAGCAAAACCTAGAATTACAAGCATCCCAAGCCATATCATGCACTAAATCAAGCTACCCATATCCACTTGCAAAAAAATCAATAAAATCCAAAAAGATTTTATCTAGGGTACCACAACTGAGAAAAAGAAGAAGTGTCTGCTGAGATGGGATGACATAACTAAACCCAAGCCCCATGGTGGACTGGACATCCAAAAAACTGAGCTAAAAAATAAGGCTTGCCACTCAGGCTTAGCCTGAAGGCTCTTTCATAAGCCTGACTCATTATGGGCCAAAACAATCATTGCCAAGCACTGTACCCAGAGTAGAAATTGGAGGAAACCTGCTTCCAGAACCTAGCAATGCATCTTAGAGGGCTGGAAAATCTGCAACAAAGCCTCTAGGTGGATTGTCAACAATGGTAATGGGGTGAGCTTCCTAACTGAGTGTCGGATTCCTAACATGGGTCCCATTGACTCCTTCATCAGTGGCCCTAAAATTATTAGGGAAGATAACATCAAAGTTTCCTCTATATACAATAATGGGAACTAGAACTTAAACTCTCTCTCCTTCCCCTAACTGGCTTTTACCATCACCAACTCTATTCTTAGCCCGAACCCAGTGAAAGAAGACAAACTCATCTGGGGACCCACTAGCAATAGACTTTTCTCGTCCAAATCAGCTTACTCCACACTTAACCCCTAGTGGAGCACACACTCTGAGCATAGTCCATCTTTCAACTGGATTTGGAAACTGGAAACACCTAACAAGATAAGATTCTTCACTTGGCTTCTAGCACACAAGAGACTATCCACCAATAAGTCTCTACACAACATTGGCCTCCAAGTCAATCCTAGTTGTCAAGTGTGCAATGGCACTGAGCAAACCATAGACCACATCTTCTTTCTCTGTCCCAATGCAAATCTTTTTGGAACAACATCTACAGTAGTGCTACTGACCAATCTATGCACATAGGATTCACTCCTGATTCTTGGAATACAACATGGAACAAGCTTAATGATAAGAAGTTTAATGACTTCATAAATTGGCATTTTCTTTTAACCATCTGTTTTTGGAACATTTGGCTTACAAGGAACAATAACATGTTCAACCATAAGAAGGAACAAATCCAAACCAAAATTGTCATTGCACAGGCCATAGAATACCATATACTTGCCAAGAAAAAACCTCACAAGGAATGGGCCACCGTCAGTGTTAAATGGGAACCTCCTAATAAAGGCCACTTCAAACTTAACATTGATGACTCCTCTTTTAATAGCCCAGGAACATGAGGCATAGGGGGGTATTTAAGAATAACTCGGGTGGCTGGGTTTTGGGTTATATGAAGGGCTTCCTAACCATAAGAAATAATCTGGCATAACTTCTTGCACTACTAGAAGGCTTAAAACTAGCAAGAGAGCACAATCTGACTACCGCTGTGATCAACACTGACTCACGGGAGATCATTAGAATGTTAAAACATGGTCATATTCCTTACGACAACTTTGTTTGTGAATGCAGGTCCTTGATGACACTGTTAGGGAACCTAACCATCAGCCATAGCTTTAGAGTGCAGAACCGGGTGGCAGATCTACTAGCTAAGGAAGGAGCAAAGAAAAGGCTTTTTGACAAAACTAGGATTTTAGCAGTTCCTCCGGTGTTTGCCAATGATGCATTATGGCAGACATCCTAGGAACTACTTTCAATAGGAAAACTTTGGTCTGTAATTAATTACTCCTATTTCAAATAATGTTGACCACCTGGGCAGCCTCTCTAACTCGCCACCCCTGTAATTATTAGTTTGTTAATTAAGTATCTGGTTTATCAACAACAAAAAAACCTTAAATGTAAATCATTCACATCGCAAGATTATTAAATTATTTAACATTTTTCGTTCTATATATTTAGAATCCTGTAACAATAATGTATTTCTCATAAACTTACGTAACATATGTAGAGAGCATACAAATTTTTACACTTTCAGTATAACTTAATCTATAATAGTAAGTTAATATTATTTTTATAAAATTGTCAATTAATATTTCTTACAAAAATTTATCAATCAAAATCTTGTAAGTGATATAATTATGTAAATACTTTTACAGGTCCCGTGCATAAAACTTTATACAAGTATCATACAATCACTTTTACAACCACAGCAGACCTGTCTTATATTTCACCCAAAAATTTACTTGTTGGTCTAGTTTGTTTTCCTCTTCTCTTCACATCTTCAACTCTCAATTTTTTTTATACGTAAAATGATTCCATTATTATTAATTACAGCAGCGTGGCGAAATGCACTTTAGCACGAGCCTTAACTTCCACAGAAGAGAAATATTAAACTAAAACCACGAACACAAAAACAAAGTTTGGTAAACAACGCTTCCTAAGCATTATAGTGCCAATGACCAAAGGGGAAAGCCAATTCTGAAAAAATTACAAGTTGAAACATCGCATAAACTACGCAGTGAGCACTCATAAGTAATTTCCTCTGTCAAGGTGCCAAATTTTCGGTGTTTTCCTGAAAAATATTTTCTTGAAATATAAATGTTGTTCTTACTTATTTTTTGGAGTTTGGTTTGATAACAGTAAATATTTTTTAAAAAATATATAATTTAGACAAACACTATGAGAGACGAAATGGGTAAGGAGGGGAAAAAGGGTGGTAGATCGTGGTCTAGGGGCCGGGATGGCAAGGATAGGGGGTGGGGCGATACAAGTGTGGAGGGGGTGGTTTGGAGG